CGAAAGCACCAGCCACGGTGGTTGGATGCCCCAAATTAAGCTGATTAAGAGGAGAGCCATAATGCTCATCTGTCAGCCAGGACAGGTGGCACTCCACAGCGCTGGAGGTCGGCAAGCCTCCAGCTTGGACGGTGACGGGCCCCTCCTTGCCCACGCCCCCAGCCTTGGAGCCCTGACAGCCGTGCCTGTGACCTCCAGCTCCTTACACGGGCCTCCGACTTCCTCCGCTCGCTGGCTCGGGCCCCGCGCCCTGCACCCTCCTCTGCCTCCATGAATGGGCTGACGGAACTCCTACCATTAGCCCTCAGTGTAACGGCACCACTCCATTGTCACCACACACGCACTGCACTCAACAGGGGGACAAAGGGCTGAATGAGCCCCAGACCCGCGGCCAACTCAGGCAGAGACGACTTAGGAAACTGTCTCATTCTTTCTTTCTTCACAGGCTGTTTGGCCTATTTCCTTGCATACCAAATGAGGCCCGCAGCAAAAATAAGGCAAGAGAGGGAAGCATCAGCCTCCAATTCTGCTCCCCCGCCTCCTACCCCCAGCTTTCTTTCCAGCAACCTTCACGAGGGTCTTGACCACAGGCCCCGTCAAGTCCACAAAGGACGGTCTGGGTGAGACTGGCCGATAGGATACGGTGTGCTGCCAGGCGCTGCTGCTTCTAGCTAAGAAGGACCAACACACAATGCGAGGGACCCTGTGAAAAACCTAAGTCAAAACAGAGACTTCTTGCCCTTCGCTGCTAACTTTTTAAATGGTTCACTAACAATCAGGATAGTAACATGCCAGGAGGACCCTAAGGAAAGGGCATCTTGGAACCTTCCCTGGGCGATATTTTAGAATGGGACAGAGAGCTCTGATGTAACCTAAGCAGGAGGGGATAAATATAATGACCAGGTGACTAGAGTCTGTGTCTGTTCTGTCAAATGTCTTCCAGTAACTTCATAAAGTCGTCATGGCCTGTCAGTCTCACTTCTATTTTTTCATTAGTGAATCAGTAAAATTGGGCCATTTGAAAATGAAGAGACTTGCTCTAAGATAAAGGCAGGTAACACTTTCTGAGAACCCTGACATATGAGATTAATATTAAGAAATACGTAGCTTTCGAAAAGACCTGGAAAGACCAAAGGATTAGAGACACATTTGAAAGGCATGTGCCCAGCCCTTGTCCTCCATTCCTTCCTTCCTCCTTCCCTCGTCTTCAGCATCGTTCCCCAATCACTGTGCCAGGGGCTCTGGGGAGAGAGCTGAGTAAAAGCTGGGTCTTGTTCAGAGGTTCTATAGACAAGCGAACAGTGAGATAAACGTTGGCACAAGGCATGAGCAGAGTGCCCAGGGGACGGAAGAGGAACCCCAATCTGCCTGGGGAAGCAGGGAAAGGTTCACGGGGAACCAGGACAGCCGATCCCTCCTCTCAAACTTACCCTTGGCAACGGAAGCCTGGTAGAGGTTCCCCCGAAAGCCAGAACTGCCTCTCTGGCTGGTGTCTGTTTTTAGCAACACTTATGAGTGGAAGGAAAAGTACTTAAAATATACCACCCTCTGAGACTTTTATTCCCTGTAAAACTGTCAGGCTTCTCACTCAGCTTTCTGTTTGGAATGAAGCGTTCCGGTTTATTTTGGCAACCAGGGGGAGCAACAAAGACCAACTTTCTCAGAGCCACATGGGTCCCTCCTATCAAAGCTTTCTGCTGCGGGCCAGGGAGCCACAGAAGCTTGTCGGGCTGTCTCCAACCAATCAAGGGGACCCCCTTTTCAACAGTTTGATTGCTGACAATCCCTGCATAGTAAACACTGTAAGCTTGAAGAGACCACAAGTAACAAGGTGCATGGGGCAGGCCCAGAGCTGCGGGACTGTAGGGTAAGATGTTGGCTCCTCCCGATTCCCACTCAGAGCCTAGAGCCAGGGGGGCGAAATGCAGTCCTGAGGCTTGACTTCCCCGTGGGGGAGCTCGACACAAACCCAGGGACATTTCACAGTGCGGCCCGAGGACACTATGTACGTGTACTGTATGTATATGTTTTATGTGACAAAATATGGGTAACATAAAATTACCATCTTAATCACTTTTAAGTATGCGGTGGCATTCAGTACAGTCAGTTTGCTGTGCTACCATCTCCAGAACTTCTTCATCAGCCCAAACTGAAACACCACACCCATTAAACAATAGCTCCCCACCCCCCCAGTCCCTAGGCCCCGGTACCCTCCACTCCACTTTCTGTCTCTATGAATTGGACTACTCTAGGTACCTCATATAAGTGGAATTATAAAATATTTGTCTATTTGTGTCTGGATTATTTCACTTATGATCTCAAGGCTCATCCATGTTGTAACGTGTCAGAACCTCATTTTTTTTTAAGTTGAATAATATTCCTCTGCCTGTACATACCACATTTTATTTCTCCGTTCCAAGGACATTTTCGATCGTCAAGTTTATGCTATGGAGCGGCCTGCATTTTCCATTAGGCCTGGCTTGATTTCCTACTGCATTTATAGTGCCTAACACATGACTTACCCTTCACTCACCTGTGACCTGCATTTGCGAGGGTCTTACGTACTTTACTCTTGATTTTCTTTACCGTGGCTAAGTTCCTTGAAGGCAGGAACCTCATCTTTTCTTTTCCATGCACAACCCACACCCCCAGTTTCTACCATGGTGCCTTGAGTACATGCCTTGCTCATAATGTAAAGTCTGCCTGCATTCAATACTTCCAGGACTCAATGGAGAGGAAGTGCTTGAATGAAATGCACCACTTAACTCATGAAATGGTGAACAGAGCTCAGGAAGCAGGACTTACCTCCTTCCAAAAGCTGATGCATTCTAAATATTATGTATTTTTTCACTCTGCACTTCAGCCCTTTAGAGAACACAGGCTGACTGATGGGTGGGGGAAGTTAGGCACACAGGCAGCCTGGCCCAGTTCTGCTCAAGCCTTTCCACTAAGAACTTTCCTAGTGAGAAAGTAAGCAAGCCTCTGGGGACTAGAGGTAAGCTTGGGACTTACTGAGGTCTCAAACTGTTATCTGAAAAAATGGTATAAATTTTGGATTCTACTATGTTCATGCTTGGTTTTTAATATTAAAATGTTTAACCCCAGGCCCACCAGTGGGAAGGAGGCATGTCTATGCCTCTGTGGTTCAATAGGTTGATTTACAGAGCTCTGAAGGCGTTTGTAGCCATGTAACCCAGTCTGACAGTGGTCTTGAATGGGCTGGCTATATAGTATCTGAAAAGGGCAAGAAGTTTCTCCAGTATGAAATGAGAGACTGGTTTGCAGTCCTGAAAAGCAAGGCATAGCCTGAGAGCCTTGGTGGTAACCCAGCAGTGACCTCTATCTACCCGAAACCAATAAGGGGGGACAAAAAGAGAGATGGGAGAAGTCTGGAGACCCACTGGTGGGCAATCAGCCAATCAGAGCAGGTCTATAAGTATCTGAAAAATGTTACAATGCCTGGGGTCGAACTCTTGTCACTGACATTTGTTTTTGTCTCTAGGGGTCGAGGAAGAGCTTGTTTTAAGCTGGTTAGGAGTCCTTGTTGCAAGGCAGCCTTAATAGGAGATACTCAGAAAAGGGAGGAAGCGAGTCATATCTATGTTAAGTTCTGTCTCTAGAGGATTCAAAAAGCATTCTCCACCTGGAGCTGCCCAGAAGGGGTCTTTTCAATCTGTGTTTTGGAAACCATGTTTCAAAAGCCAGCATTTTAAAAGCATATCTAAGAACTGTTTCAGAGGAGGATGGGGTTTGTTTTATCACCCCCTCAGCACTTCCCTGCGTCATTTCCTGGAGATGGTCATAAATGGCAAAGCAAAATACAGGTGGGTGGGTGAGAAAACCAACAAGTGGCAGCCTTGGGCTCCCTGAGGTTTAACCTTCTGCTCAGCGTCCCCGGTGGGGGCATGGGCCACGGGGCCTGTCAAGCACATTATTCCTTAACTTAATATATTCCCACAGCACCGACATTCAGAATCTCCCTGGAACACCCAGAGGGGCCATCATAAAGTCCCCCTGCATTCCAGAGCCTCTCCATGGTGACTCACAAGGGCCTCAGAGCTGACACCCGCTCTGGAGCTGCCTTTAAACCAAAGGCCTTTTTCAAACAAAAAGATCCCAGGGCTGCAGCAAGGGTAGAGAGCAAAGTTCCCAGACCCACGTCAGCGCTTCCAGGTTCTAGTCCCAGCTCCACCACTACCTCCCTGCCCCCCAGGCTGGCTACCTCGGCCCTCTGTGCCTCCCTGACCTCTCAGAACCCCCCTGGCTGTGACCTTCTAAGGACTGGAAACCCCTACCAGCCGAATATGAGCTTCACTTCACCCTGGTCTGTCTCAGAGCCTCTCTGCTCATTAGGAGCTTCAAATTCTGACAACCAGAATTACAGCCTCTGGGCCTCCCACAGGGCACACAGCATGGAAAATCTACGTCTAATAATAGTTCCTTCGGTTGGTATGACACTTTATTCTCTTCAAAGTGCCTTTTAATCCATTACCACCTGGAACAAAAGGGAAGTGAGAGGCAGGCGGGGCCGAGAGGCTTGTCAGGGCCCGTTCTCATGGTGGGGACCTCCTGCGTGGCCACTCCCCTCCAGGACAGCAGATCCCTGGCTTTAGTCATCCCTTCTCTCTGTCCCTCCCAGCCCTAGCGTTAGCAGACACGAAAACTGGAGGAGAGGCAGCCTGGCGTGTACATAAATGGAAATGAAGCAACAATTCAAGTCCATTGGGAAGCCCACGCCATAAAGGAAAATTAGTAACCAGCCTGGCCCCCCCTTGCACCTGCTCGGAAAGTTCCTTCTCCTATTTTATGGCACACGGGCTTTTGAAACCTTAAGAGGAGGCCTCACCTGCTGGATTTTGTACTTCCTTGGATGTCGATCTTAGGAAACAGAAACCAACAACCACAAAAATACCTCTATACGTTATCATCAAATCAACTGTCTCTTTCTGAGCCGAGAAAGGAGACGTCTGGTCTTAACCAAGAAGGTGGCTGCCACCTACCACGTCGGTGTTGGTGATCTTGGCCAGCAGCTCCACCAGGGCATCGCCGGTGAGCGAGCTCACTTCTTCATCCTGCTGCAGCCCACAGATGGCGGCTCCCACACTTCCAGTTGCAATCATCGATGGTGGGTACATGGCAAACTTGAAGTCTGCTAAAAAGGAGAGGGGTGGAAGGTCAGGGCACAGGAAGGACTGGGATCCAGGAGAGCCTCAGAAATAGACCAGGACCCGACAGACTCAACCTCTCCCGAGAATTCCCCTCACAGGACACCCTTCCTTTATTTGCCATCTCAATGGTGGCAGTTCCAGATTTAAAATGAAGACACCGTGGCAAGGAAGGCAGGGAATTCACAGAGGACTCAGGTTCCCAACCCCAGTGACACAATCCTGTGAGGGGTTTTCAGCTCTGGTGGGGCAGGACGTTGAATAAGACACAGCCCCCTTTGGGGGTGATGGCAAGAGCAAAGCGGGCAGGTCTGAGACCTGTGTGGATAAGATAACCCATGTGCCATCCAAGTGAGACAAGCCGAGAGCTTTAGGTGGAAGGAGAGACTAGTATAAGCTCGTAAAATACTATGAAGAAAAACGTAACATCCTGATGTGACCATGCCATATTCCCTGGACTAATATGACCCAAAAGAAAAAAAAAAAAAAGATTTTATAAAGTAAGAGAAGCAGCAATGGTGGGGATGGGGGGACGGCGGCCAAGTCTCACACAATTCCCAACTTCTAGCCCAATGCCCAGACCCTCAGGACACTAGGAGAGTGCACAGGAATTTATCCAAGCACCCTAATCAGACGGATGAGTAGGTTTAGTGTTTAAGGCCTTAAGATGCCACTTTCTTGCTGGACAAAAAAAAAAAGAGTGGTTTGCTAGAGTAGTGCAAAATGAGGCAAATCTGTGGGGCCCAAACCCTCTCCGCTTCCATTTCCGCAAAAGCAAGTACAGAGGCGGCTCCTGTGCGGAGGGCTCAGCTGGGGAGCGTGGACACCTCCGTCTCCTCTGAGCACTCCCCCAAAGGGGCTGGGCCAAGATCACCACTGCTCTGTCCGTGGAGGGGGAAAATCCACACATCAGCCATACAGGGTGTGCACAATTATGGCCCTAATGTGGAGGAGAAACCCAAGGCTTCTGAGTGTCTAAGCTGTCCCCATCCCTGCCCTGTGTGGATACGTTAAGGAGGTTAGTGGTTCCTCCTGCATCTTTCGACAGCCCTGGCCTGGAGCAGACCTTCCTGGAGCAGTCTGCTCCCTCCAGTGAATCTGCTGTGTGCAGGGGTAAGGGTGTAGAGGGAAGACACTTCAACTTATAGCAAAAACATTAGGTTGAACCTTCATAAAATAGTTCAGCCTCTCATCTCCCCTTTTACCTATACAATGCCTGATTACAACAGTCCACAGAAGCCCTTTTATCAGTGGCCCCCGGACCAGCACCAAGTTAGTGGTGTTCCTGGAGACACTGCTGGCTCACTGAACCACACTCATACCTCCCTCCCGGCTTGGCCGAATCCACGAACGCAGCAGGCCTGGCCATCTGACGGGCTGGCTCTCTCCCCTTAGCGCAGTCACCATTTCTACCTCTTGAGGGACATACTATCTCTGCCCAAAACTTGCTGTCCACTAGCTCCTCCAGCGGATGCTAACAGCGCCAACCTCCCCGCTCCTGCTCTGCTGTAGGTCTCTGCCCCAGGCGGTCACAGGAGCCTTTCTCTGCCCAATAACCTCATTAGCTTCCCACTGCGACACTCACAATGCACAGGAGGAAGCCAACCCATGGCCCTGGGCCCAAGAAGACCTGGGTGGGAGCATCTGGCAGGGAAAGGCAGGAGGGTATCCCTGGCTTCTCCCTCCACTCAGGCCTCAACCAAGAGGCACACCTCACACACATGCCTATCTTGCTTGTCCCTCTGTATGCAAAACCAACCCTAATCTTTAGCAAATTAACTTCTGGAAGCCAGGAGGTATCTACAGGTGGTTCTGTGGTGCAGCAGGCACTAGAGTTGTCCAGGACTATCTTTTTCTTGTTTTGCTAGGAAAACAGACAGGAGTCCTGGAGACACTGTCCCCTACCTCCCGGAACTGGGGAGCACCGTGTGCATGAACCCGCCTGCCTCTCGACAGCTCAGAGCACTCCCATGGCCAGAGGAGCTGCTGGTAGTTACGCTGCTCATTGCCACTCTCTGTGGCAGCACACCAGTGTCTTCCAGAGCCCGGAGCAGCTGCCCAGCTCACCTACTTAGACAGGTGATGTTAGCACTAAAAAGCTAGGTCTAGGCTGTGGGTCCTTGAACAAGTCACTTCTTCCCTTGGAACCCCATTAAGATCAGCGTTTTTCTCACCTCCTGTTACAGCTCATTAATGGGTCATGAAACTCATCAGTGGGGCATGACCAGTATTTCTGGTTGTTGTTTAATGGAACACAGGATAGTGAGTGTAATAAGAGTAAATACCATTATGAGGAACTTTTGTATCAGTCTGATGTATTTGTGTGTCTCTTGAGTTGTGTTATAAAGTATATTTCTTCCTTCAAGGGTTAGGTCAAAAAGTTTAAAGATCTCAGGCTAGCTCATCTCCCAGGTGCCTTCCAGCTCTAATTTGCTTTTACTCAAATATCTGAAATAGGAATGACTCGTCCTAGCCAGTGCGGCTCAGGTGGTTGGAGCGCCATCCCACACACCAAGGTTGCGGGTTCAGTTCCCTATCAGAGCACAGAGGTTGCCGTTCGGGGTTCGATCACCGGTCAGGGCGCATATGGGAGGCAACCATACTATGTTTCTTTCACATGGATGTTGCTCTCTCCCTCCCTTCCTCTCTCGCAAAAAATCAACAAAAACATATCCTCACGTGAGGATTTAAAACAAAAACAAACAACAACTCCCAAGGAAAAAAGCAAGGAAGAGACGACAGAATGCAGCAGCCAGCAGTTACAAGGCACCTCCTTTCACATGGCATTGGGGGCTGCCCCAGCACCACCTCAGGGACATCCCCTCTGTTGGGAAACAGCAGAGAGGAAAAAACACTAGAATGAAACATCTGAAGGGTCGTGTCCTTGCACCAGCCCTAATTAGCCAACCCCCACGCTCACCTACGGAACTCTACCCAACCCATGTAGCCATTCTTGGAAACCTTAAAGCTTTGGCCATGTAAGTGGATTGAGAAAGGCTCCCAGTATCATTTGGGGGTGTGTGTGCAGAAACATGCACGGGTGTTAATATTAGGGCCTTTCATAAATATGTAAACACATATATACACATGCATAGGGATGAACTAGGAGTGTACACAGAAAATGTATACAAATTTTACTACCATTAGGTTGGGGAAATAAAATCTTGTAAACTTTCTTCTAGTACTATTTTACTTTAGCAAACAGAAACCAAGTAAAAATCTCGCAAAAATCTCTAAATCTCTTGGTCAAAAATTCCAAGAGGCTTTATCTTGGTGCAGAAGGCCCACTCAGGGCCAGGTTCTATCTCCACCCTCAGCTGCCTACCTGGAAAGGTGAGATTTTTGTGGCTTCCCGAGACTCCTCCTCCTCAAGCAGAGTGAGAAGCAATGAACTGGCCAGTGATACATTCCAACTGAGTTATTGCAACGTGATCCTCCCTGCCCCAGGCAACATGGATGGTTCCCACAGGATGTAAAACACAGTAACAGGGTAAAGCACGGTGCATTCCAAATGAATAGGGGTACACATGGTAACTTGTAAAGAAACTTCTCAAAGAAAGGAGGTACTCAAGTGGATAGAAGCATTGGAGACAGGAGGACTCTCCAAGGAAATGGATGGGATGTGGACAGTAGAGCCAAGAAGCTCCAAGAATTGGAAAGTAGAATGCATGAAGGCTGATGTCCCCCCACCTACAGCTGTGTGGAGTTGGGCAAGTTACCTGACCTCTCTGAGCCTGTTTTCTCACCTGCGGATAAGGATAATAATTCTACCCACCTCATAGGGTTGTTCTGAGGATTAACTAAAATAATCCATGTAAAAGCACAGTGCCTGGCTCACGTAGCAATCTGTCAGCCGCCACCACTGTTCTCATCACTGGAACCTCCTGTGGGATTGTGATGGCAGTTCTCATACTTGGAGAGTCTGCTCAGCAGATGTGAGGAGAAAGGTACCCAGCGTCCCTGGACTGCAGGCAGATGCTAAGTGAGAGGAGGCTGGCGAGAATGAGGGCTCTGTGCTACCAGGAGAATCTTTCACTATCAGCTGTGGATGCATCTCAGAAATGACCTCATCCAGGCCCCAAAGCCTCCTGCTGGTTTGTCAGGAGTGGGAGAAACTGAGGCCTCCACAGGGGAATACATAGTCACAAGCATACAAGGAATGAAAGAAGGTGGAAACTCTCCTCCCAGTACAGTCCATATTCATTCAGATATGGTTCACCCAGAGCCAAGGAACTAGAAGCCTCTGGCACAAGCTCCCAGCTCCTGGTGAGGTAGTGGGGTTAGGGGCACACCTGAGGGGAATCCAGCTCTAGGGGTGAACAAAGGCGGTTCTAATGCTATCTGTTTGCTCATCCATGTGGTAAGGATGGTGAAGTATTAATAACAATGCAAAATTCATCTATTTGAAACATTTCCTTTTACCAGTGAATCAATGAAGTCTTGAGAGGTTAAGTGATTTGTCTAATGTCTAACGCTGGGCCGGGGTTAAGATCAAGACTTTTGGACTCTGGATCCAGCGCTCTATATAACTTACCAGAAGGTGAACACTCCTCAAGGCCACCTTCCACATCCCAGTAAGGAATACAGGGTCCTCTTTCCTATCGGAAGTGGAAGTGGAAGAAAAGCCACAAAGAGTGAGCCTTGGCTCAAGGGTCAAAGAGATGGGTACTAGTCTCTGCCATGGCACCAGAATGCTGTGTGACCTGCACAAGCCACCCAAGGACATCACAGGATCCTTCATCTGTGCAAGGGCAGTGAGATGTGCTCATATCTGTCAGGTTGGTATTTGTACTTCTTGGTAAGATTTCACTGAAGAAACAGTTATGAGCTTAACAGGTTTAAAAGCAGGGATTCCATGGCCTTGCGGGTAAATTTAGCGCAGATGGTTTTGGCCCTGGCCACCAAGGCCTTGAAGCACAAAAGCAACTGCTCTGCTTGTGCTCACCACTAGGGGGCGAGAGACCCTTGTTCTGAGGCTAAAGAGAAACAGAATTAAACTCCCCCCGCCAGGCATTTTCCTGTCCTCCCCCCCCAACCTGCAGTGAGGTGGAAGTTTAGAAGGCCAGAACCCAGGTGGCTCAGTGGCCAATGAATGACACTGGCAGCACACACCTCACCTGCTACCCCCAGAATAGGCTCAGCACACGCTGTCCTCGTGGGACAGGACTGCCAGGACAAGCTAATGCCAATTTAACTCCAAAGGCCCAGGGGGGAGGAAGAGGGGAGGAAGGCTGGAGAAGGGAAGCAGCCTGCTCCCCATTCGTCTGACAGCCAGATGGGAAGTGAGATAGCCCCAGTCACACTGCCTGTCCCCAAGGAAGCTCTTACAGAACCGAGACTCAGGTTCTTCCCAGTTCAATTCTCTGCTTCCCCTCAGCCCCATGACCTCTCAGCTGTGGAGGCAGCTAGAGACTCACAGCTGGAAAGGTGCTTTCAATTCTTCCTTCCGGGCAACCATAAAGGGCCAAATCATGGGCCCTCTCTGGGTCTCCAGTGTCTCCCTAGAATTGTACCTGGTGACGCAGTCATGAAACATCTTTTGGTAAAGCTAGAAGGGCCAGGCGAGCACATGGTTATCACTATCATCATCAAGGAGCTCAGGCCTTGGGAAGGGAACCCAGGGAGGAGCTCTCCCGTAGGTGACACAAATAGCTAAGCGGAGCATCTTGAGGTGGGGCTCCTAGGCACAAAGAGCTGGGAGATGTGGGGTGCCATGGGTAGGGAGGTTAAGCACCTCCTCCCTGACCCCTACACCAACTTCAAATTCAATGCCATTGGCTCTTCTAGACAAACTGGAATCATCTGCTGAGCATGATTTCATGCATCAAGAATCCCCCAAAGCAGCCCAGCCGGGAGTGGCTCAGCGGTTGACCATCGACCTAGGACCCAGGAGATCGAGGTTTGATTCCTGGTCAGGGCACATGCCCGGGGTGCGGGCTCGATCCCGTTGGGGGTGTGCAGGAAAGCAGCTGATCAATGATGACTCTCTTATCACTGATGTTTCAACTCTCTCTCCCCCTTCTTCTCTCTGAAATCAATAAAGATATATTTAAAAAAAATAAAAATCTCCCAACGCAGGAGTGCGATCCGGAGTCATCTGAAATGTCTACTTTCCTTGCCTGCAGACCTGGGGGGCCTCGACCATGAGAGCTACGCCAGGGGGTGCCAAGGCTCAGTTCCGCTGCCCCAGGATCAAAGCCCTAAGGAAAGGGAATCCAGGAGCTAGTAGTTACGAAGGCCTCACCTTCACAGCCGTGCCTCCACCGACCAGGACATCTCAGAGAGGAACACCAGGCAGTTTGAGGCAATCTCTTCCAGAAGCCATTTTTGGCTGAACAGGGAAGGGAAGGGATGGGATGGAGGGCACCTTTCCGTCTCGCCACCATCTTACCCTTCAGCCCCAAAAGGAAGGCTGACTCCCTGCTACCCTCCTCGTGGCCCCACGGTGCTCTCCGGCTCCCTCTTCCCCTTTTGCACACATTCGCTCTCCGCAGGCTGCACAACCACTGCCAGCTCTTTCACAACCAGCTTTCCCCATAAACAGCCGCAGGGCCTGCGGCTGGCTACCACCTCCTCCAGACCCTGCGGGCCTCCAGGCCTTGGCTGCAGGTGCTTCTTCAGCTCCATGAAGACCCAGGCTTGGGGGGAGGGACAGAGATGTGACGTGGAACAGCAGGCTGGAGGGGCTCGGTGTCACCTACCTGTGGTTCTCATTTACCCTGTGCCTGCTACTTACCAGACAGTCCTGGGTGCTCACCCATTCGTCACACTCTGGCCCTAGAATGTGGAATCTCATCTAACTAGAGGGTGTTTTCTCCAAAAACACCCTGTGGCTTTTATACTGTCTGTCCGACTGCATAAACCCGCACACAGTAGGGATACTGCATGACTCGGTCATTCAAACCACTCAAGGGCTGCTCAGAGAAAGAGATAGGAACATCCTTTCTAGGCCCAGAACACTTCTGAGAACCTTCTTTTGCTCTGACTAGTTCACACCTGAGGCTTAGGTGTGAGGTGTTCTTTGGTGAGAGGTGTTCTTTCTCCCATCTGTCCCCATCCCCTGCCCAAAGCCAGCTCGTCATGACTTCCTCTGCCTCCCCTCAGACCTCTGTCCTCAGTCCCCGAATCCCAGGCTCCCTACTCTGGCCCCAAAGTTGGCAGCCACCCCAAGGATCTGGGTAAGAAGGCCAGGAGTGGGGGATGGGATCCCCAATTTTAGAGAATGGGCCTTTACAGAACCTGGGGATCTGACCATGCCTGGATTATTCCACTCACCAGCCCTACCCCAATCAGCAATCAGAGAAGAGAAATGGGTGGACAGACCCCAAAAGATCTGTCAGTCAAGAGACAAGGTCAAAGCACAGCTCTGGCTACCAACAGCTGGGTAATGGGGAGCTTAGGGTCGGGGTCAGCTGTCCTAGGGTCAGAGGGAAAAAGGACTGGTTGACCCCTCCCCCCCATAGTAAATCATGACAAGGGAGAGGAAAGGGACAGCCGGGCCTGGGAGACAAAATGACAAGTCAATGAGATCTGACCTCTAGGGCCCAGGCTAGACAGCAGGAGGAAGGAAGCAGAAGAAAGGCTACTATCTAAACGCAGCAAGAATCCAGGGGGCTCTGAAGAATGGCCCCCACGGCTGCAGGGAGGGCAGCTAACTCTCCCACAAAGAGGCACAAGGGCACACACACACACACCCACCATGAGGTCTGGTCTGGACCTGGAAGGACCAAAGCAAAACAGCAAAAGGAATCCTGAGCCCTGGAATCAAGTGGGTGGCATGGGATCCTCTATTCAAGCCAGCGAAGGCAGAGCACGGGAGTCCCACTGGGGCTGGCTGAGGGCAGCTTGAAGAGTAATCATATCCATCTCAGCCAGAACAGTGAAAGCGGGAGACGGTGGCCTTTTCAATTAGCACCACAGCACACTGTCCTGCACATTCCTTGGTTTGCAAAGTTCTTCCCTGCATATCCTCTGCTTTTCATTTTCTTACCACCCTGGAAAGGCTGCAGAATCATGTATCTATAGGTGTGTTTTGCACATGAAGAAGCTGAGGTTCAGAGAGTTGAGCAGCCTGTCCAAGGTGTCCCCAGTGATAAGTAGCAAAGCCTGACCTTTTGACTGTGAACACCAAACATATACACTATTGCATACTATAAGACCATCTGTGCACACTTAGAAATAACATGTAACAAGATATTGAAAAAGTTACACCCCCCCCCCC